CCCAGGTTGAAGTGCAGCAGCACGAGCATAGCTCACTGCAGCCTTTATCTCCAGGGTTCAAGTGATCCTCCTACCTTAGCCTCCCAAGCAGCTGGGACTAGAGGCACACACCACAATGCCCAGGTATTTTATTTTTATTTTTATTTTTAGTAGAGACAAAGTCTTGCTTTGTTGCCCAGACTGGCCTCAAACTCCACAGCTCAAACACTCACCTAAGTGAGAACCTGACCAAAAAGGGGGAGTTTTCTTAAACAAAATCCTGGGAGGCCATTGTTTTGGACTAAGCTGATGCACTAGGCCCCAACAAACCAAACCAAAATGGAGTCACTCGTGCTAAGACTTTAAGGAAACATAGACTCCAGAACAGACCAGATTTTGTTTTTTCTCCAGCAAATCTCTATAACAAACACTCCTGACAGCATAGGTATCCACTCCCAAAATCCCCTTTAAGTCTTTTAACCAAATTCATTTCCTCTCACCTAGAGATCATGAAGCTTCAGATGATTATGCAACAAAGGTTCCAGCCAGTTCCAGGTGAAGACATCACCCTGGCCATCAAAAAGCCACCCTGCCTCCACTAGACAGAACAGGGTGAGAGTTCTGTGATCTCCAACAGGTAGAGACTACGCCCCAAGTCAGCATGAAGCAGTTACAGAAGATCTTCAGTCCCTCTGCTTCCCATAAAGATTTATGGGGATCACGTCTCTTGGGGGAAGATGAGGCAGCAAAATAGGTCTGGAGGCAGAGAACCTAAGGCTGTTTCACGCTAACTTCTTAGAACTAAATTGAAAGGAAAACCCTAACTTTCCTTGCCTAAGTAAAGGACCAGAGGCTACTCCCTTGACCTTTTCTGAGTACTGCAGATGAGAAATTGGCTGGCCCCAACAAATCAGACTGATTGCTGGTGGAGTCTTCATTTGCAACTCTGTAACTTCACCCTGGCCTCTGATTGGTAGCTTTTTTGCAGATGTGAACTTACAAAGATTTTGCAACCAATCAGATGTTTGCACAGGAGTGTGACCATTTATTAACTTCACAACAGCTTCTAGTTGGCTGTTTTCTGTTAACCAATCAGACTGATTGCAGGTTACATGAGGTTAGCATGAAGTGGCCAACGGGAAACTTCTAGGGAGTATGTGAACCCAAGAAGATTCTACATCTGGACCCCTTGAGACGCTGCTCAGGTCCACTTCCATACTGTTGTGTGCTTTCATTTTCAATAAATCCCTGCTTTCGTTCTTTTTCTACTTCATTCTTTCTTTGCTTTGCTGGACATTTGGTCCAATTCTTTGTTCAAAACACCATGAACCTGGACAATCTGCAGTCATGACCCTCTCCCGGTGACAAAAATACAAGACCTCTTTTTTTTATCTTTTTGGTTCAAATGGAAGAAAAAACTCTTTTGAGTTTTCCCAAAATTCAACACTATTATAGTTTTCCTTTAATACTAAAGTAAAATTACAAGACAAAAATTAAATTTTACTGTCAACAAGATCAGGTGTATTGATTAAATCTTATAATCTTATTTGAAAATAAAAATAGAGCACACTGTATAACAGATATTAAATAAATTCAGAACTTCAGAAATAAAAGGTATCTTGGATGGACAAGGGCCTGAAGGGTTAGGTGGCATGCTTAAGGTCACAGTTAATAACAGAACTATAACTAAAAAACTTAAATGTACTAAATACAAGGGGGCATCCTAAATTAGATCCTGAAACAGAAAAAGGATGTTAGTGGAAAATCTGCATAAAGTTGGTAGTTCAGTTAATAATACTGTAACAATGTTAACTTGTTAGCATTGACAAATATACCATGGTTATTTAAAATGTTAACATTAGAAACACACCCATAATCCCAGCACTATGGGAGGCTGAGGCAGGGTGGATCACCTGAGGTCAGGAGTTTGAGACCAGACTAGCCAACATGGTGAAATCCTATCTATACTAAAAAATACAAAAAGTAGCCAGGCGTGGTGGCGTGCGCCTGTAATCCTAGCTATGAGGCTGAGACACGAGAATCACTTGAACCCAGGAGCTAGAGATTGTAGTGTCCCGAAGACTGGGCCACAGAGTGAGACTCTCAAAAAAAAAAAAAGAGGAAAGTACATGAAAGGTATACAAGAACTTTGTACTACCTTTGCATTTTTTCTGTACATCTGAAATTATTAGCCGGGCGCGGTGGCTCAAGCCTGTAATCCCAGCACTTTGGGAGGCCGAGGCAGGTGGATCATGAGGTCAAGAGATCGAGACCATCCTGGTCAACATGGTGAAACCCCGTCTCTACTAAAGGTGCAAAAAATTAGTTGGGCATGGTGGCACGTGCCTGTAATCCCAGCTACTCCGGAGGCTGAGGCAGGAGAATTGCCTGAACCCAGGAGGCGGAGGTTGCGGTGAGCCGAGATCGCGCCATTGCACTGCAGCCTGGGTAACAAGAGTGAAACTCCGTCTCAAAAAAAAAAAAAAAGAAATTATTAAGTAAAAATAAAACACTTATTTTAAAATTCTAAATCTGAAACTGATTTCTAATCCAGGATACTTTCCATCTGTTTCCATAAGAATACCCATATAGGGCTGGGCTCGGTGGCTCATGCCTGTAATCCTAGCACTTTGGGAGGCCGAGGTGGGCGGATCACGAGGTCAGGAGATCAAGACCGTCCTGGCCAACATGGTGAAACCCTGTCTCAACTAAAAAGACAAAAAAATTAGCTGGGCATGGTGGCACATACCTGTAGCAGCTTCTTGGGAGCCTGAGGCAGAAGAATTGCTTGAACCCAGGAGCCAGAGACTGCAGTGAGCCGAGACTGCACCACTGCACTACAGCCTGGGCAACACTACAATACTCCATCTCAAAAAAAAAGAACCATATAGAAAGGCATTAAGTTCTAAAACCAAGTATACAAAGATAACAAACTATAGCACCTGCCTATAGCACTCTCAAACAAAAAAAATCAAAAGAAATATTCCCTATTTTTCTGTTTAATAGGGAAGGGAACTAACACTCATTGACTTCTTGCTATATTCCAGGCATTTTGCTTATTTATTTATCGTACCTGGGCTGGGCAAAGTGGCTCATGCCTGTAATCCTAGAGCTCTGTGAGGCCAAGGCAAGAGGACTGCTTGAGCCCAGAAGTTTGAGACCAGCCCAGGCAACATGGTGAAACCCCATCTCTACTCAAAAAAAAAAAGAAAAGAAAACTTAGCCAGCCATTGTGGTGCGCAACTGTACTCCCAGCTACTTGGAAGGCTGAGGTGGGAGGATCCCTTAAGCCCAGGAGGCAGAGGCTGCAGTTGACCCACTGCACTCCAGCCTGAGTAACAAAGCCAGATCTTGCCTCAAAAAAAAAAAAAAAATATATATATATATATACACACACACACACACACACACACACACGTAATTTTCACAACTGTTTTAAAATAATTATCACCTCAAATTATACTTGAAGCTCAAAGAAGTTAAATAATTTGCTCACTATCATATAGTTACTAAGTAACAGAGCCAGATTTCCATAATACTTCATCAACTTCCTCTAGGTTATCTAGCCACTCCACAGTCATCTGTGTATTTAAAAGAAGTATCTGGTACTAAATCTTTAGATTCCATGGTGTTTTTCACATCAAAACCCTCACTGCCAATCCCATTGCCACTACCTTTTGTTCAAGTCTCTGTTACCTCTTATCTGTTCCAGAGCAAAACACCTCTCAAGCATTCCAATCTCTAGTCTTATCCCCTTTAATCCTTTCTGTATACCTGTAAAGAACAGCTTCTTGCTGGCCTCCCAGCATCTGTGAGGATGTTTTAGCAATGGTCTTAGATTTCCTTTTGAGAGATTACCTCTCTTATGCCTAGGTATTTCCTTCTAGGAAACTTGTACTTGGTTTTTGGAGATTCTGAATCTTGAGCAAATGATACAAGTCTGGAAAAAAACAGTTAGCACTTATTCATTTGGGTGGCATCCTGATGAAATTGTCAATTCATTCCTTATATCAAGCAAGACCCCAGGAGTTATCCTAAACTGTCTCTCCAGCTTTCCTTTTCCATCTATGAGCAACTTAATAGTCTTATAATAAAATTCTTTTTTGGTCAGGCGCGGTAGCTCACGCCTGTAATCCCAGCACTTTGGGAGGCCGAGGCGGGTGGATCACGAGGTCAAGAGATCGAGACCATCCTGGTCAACATGGTGAAACCCCGCCTCTACTAAAAATACAAAAATTAGCTGGGCATGGTGGTGCACGCCTGTAGTCCCAGCTACTCGGGAGGCTGAGGCAGGAGAATTGCCTGAACCCAGGAGGCGGAGGTTGCGGTGAGCCGTGATCGCACCATTGCACTCCAGCCTGGGTAACAAGAGCGAAACTCCGTCTCAAAAAAAAATTTTTTTGTTGAGACAGAGCCTCATTCTGTGGCCCGGGCTGGAGTGCAGTGGTGTAGTCTCGGCTCATAGCAACCTCTGCCTCCCCGGTTCAAGCGATTCTTGTGGCTCAACCTCCTGAGTAGCCGGGAATTCAGGCGCCTGCCACCATGCCCAGATAATTTTTGTCTTTTTAGTAGAGACGAGATTTCACCATGTTGGCCAGGCTGGTCTTGAACTCCTGATCCTCAAGTGATCCGCCAGCCTTGGCCTCCCAAAGTCTTGGAATTACAGGCGTGAGCCACCACACCGGCCAATTAATTTTTTTTTTTTTTTTTTTTTTTTTTTTTTTTGAGTCAAAGTCTTGCACTGTTGCCCAGGCTGTAGTGCAGTGGCACAATCTCAGCTCACTGCAATCTCCGCCTCCTGGGTTCAAGCAATTCTCCTGCCTCAGCCTCCCTAGTAGCTAGGACTACAGGCATGTGCCACCATGGCCAGCTAATTTGTTTTGTCTTTTTAGTAGAGATGGCATTTCACCATGTTGGCCAAGATGGTCTCAATGTCCTGACCTCATGATCCACCTGCCTTGGCCTCCCAAAGTGCTGGGATTACAGGCATGAGCCACCACGCCCAACCAAGAAACTTATGTGTGCTCACTTCAGCAGCACATATACTAAAAACCTGGAATAATACAGAGATTAGCATGGCCGCAGTGCAAGGATGACATACAAATTTGTGAAAGGCTCCATTAAAAAAAAACAGGAAACTTACATCAGTTGTGCCAAACTTCAAACTATTTTCTAAACAGCAAAAAGAGAAACTAAAGGTCAGCAGTCAATAAAGACAACTTCCAACAAGTAATCTAACACAACACAAAAATAGGCACTTCCTACTACTGACTTCCTTTTTCCTGATAAGCACAACTTCCAAAGGAAGATATGTAGGTCACCCAACTTCTATACTTTAGCAACCAAGGAGAAGTAGATGAGTCGTCCTATTTCTCTGCCCAATATTTCTTTTCTTTCCTTAGCAAATGTTAGCATGTCTCTATTTACTTATTAACACACAGGTGGAGGTAAAACATGTTGATTTGTAAGTTGTGTATTGAAGAAAATATCAGAAGACACAGAAAAGCAAAACCTAGTTTATTAACAATATTAACCATTGGTAAAATTTGAGAAGCATGGAATATCACAGTTACTAAGTAACAACCTACCAATCGTTCAATACTGTCAATAAGCTAGGTTTTGCTCCTCTGTATCCTTTGATATTTTCTACAAAATACAAATTATATAATAAAGCAAATTTAAAAAAAGAGTTTAAGGGATTTTAAATGCCAGAAAAGAATACCAGCAAGCCATATAAACCTCCAAACTATAACTTTCTTTTTTTTTTTTTTTTTGAGACAGAGTCGCGTTCTGTTGCCCAGGCTGTAGTGTAGTGGCACATTCTTGGCTCACTACAACCTCTGCTCTCAGATTCAAGCAATTCTCATGCTTCAACCTCTCGAGTAGCTGGGATTACATGTGTGTGTCATGACGCCCAGCTAATTTTTAGTAGACATGGGGTTTTGCCATGTTGGCCAGGCTGAACTCGAACTCCTGACCTCAGAGATCCACCCACCATGGTCTTCCAAAGTGCTGGGATTACACGCGAGAACCACTGTGCCTGGCCTCCAAACTATAACTTCTATTCAATTAACCATTATATTATAATAGTGATTATGCTTATAAAAACAATAGCTGAGTTTCCATGAAAAAAACTGCAGTGGCTAATAGCATGGGCGCAGTGACTCACGCTTGTAATGCCGGCACTTTGGGAGGCCGAGGTGGGGGTATCATAATGTCAAGAGATGGACACTATCCTGACCAACATGGTGAAACCCCATCTCTACTAAAAAATATAAAAATTAAGCCAGGCGAGGTGGCTCACATCTATAATCGTAGGACTTTGGAAGCCAAGGTGGGCAGATCATGAGGTCAGGAGATCAAGACCATCCTGGCTAACACAGTGAAACCGTGTCTCTACTAAAAATACAAAAAATTAGCCGGGCGTGGTGGTACACACCAATAGTCCTAGCTACTCGGGAGGCTGAGGCAGGAGAATCACTTGAACCTGGGAGGCGGACGTTGCAGTGAGCTGAGATCACGCCACTGCACTCCAGCCTGGGCGACAGAGCTAGACTCTTGTCTCAAAAAAAAAAAAAAAAAAAAATTAGCTGGGTATGGTGGCACAAGCCTATAGTCCCAGCTACTCAGGAGGCTGAGGCAGAAGAATCGCTTGAACATAGGAGGCAGAGGTTGCAGTGAGCTGAAATCACACCACTGCACTCCAGCCCGGTGAGACTCTGTCTCAAAAAAAGAAAAAAGAATGTGCAGTTATTCTAAATGATGCTGTTTTGCTAAAGAAAAAGCAATGGCTTCTCCCTACTGAAGTGCTAAGTATACAAATATTTAATTTTATATAACTAGGCAATTACCAACTATCCTTATAAATCCATTTATAAGGAATCCTATATCTGGTATAAACTATTATGCTAAATAGCCCAAACAGGCATTTCAGAAGTATGTAACTCCATTTATCCCTTGGTGCATAAAAGCACAGATACATATTCATAATAACTGTGGTATCACTCCATGCTCTCACAATTCAACCAATAATGATGTTGCAATATTGGCCATAACATTATGATAAAATTTAAACCAATAAAAATTTTTTTTTAAACTTGGTGTATACAAACTTGGGAACAACTTCGGCTTCTGAGCAATGATAAGGTAACTAAAACAAGATTTATCTTCCTGCCATAAACACCTGAAAAACTAGAAAACTACTGTTTGGACACTGAATAAGAGGCAACCCAGGACTACAATCTCTCAGAGAAGCTAAACAAACAAGGTAAGTTGTATGGTTACTGGCTTTCTATCTGAAAACAAATGAATAATTACAGTTGACATTTCAACATTCCTCTCTATGACTGAGAAAACAAATAGAGAACATCAGTCGATACACAGAAAACGTAAACCACACTTAAACTAACTTGACCTAATTCACATTATAGAACTCTATATACAACAAATGCAGAATACACATTCTTCTCAAGTATGTATAGAACAACCAAAATAGATCATATGTTGGGCTATGAAACAAGTTTGGTTTTTGTTTTGTTTTGTTTTCTGAGACAGTCTCTCACTCTGTCACCCAGGATGTAGTCCAGTGGCGTGATCTCGGCTCACCACAACCCCCACTTCCCAGGTTCAAGCGATTCTCCTGCATCAGCCTCCCAAGTAGCTTGGATTACAGGCATCTGCAACCATGCCCAGCTAACTTTTTGTAGTTTTAGTAGAGATGGGGGTTTCACCATGTTGGCCATGAACTCCTGACCTCAAGTGATCCACCCACCTCAGCCTCCCAAAGTGCTGGGATTACAGGTGTGAGCCATCATGCCCAGCCTGAAACAAATTTTAATAAATAATTAAATTCAGACAGTATGTTTTCTGACCACACAGAATTAAATCAGAAACCAAAAATCAGAAAAATATCAAGAAAATTCCTAAATATTTAGAAACTAAACAACGCCCTTCTCAATATATATGGTTGGTAAAAGATAAATATAAAAGTGACATTAGAAAATATTCTGAATTTTAAAAAGAGACACAGGAAAACCGTATAACATAAACCCTCATACTAGAAAAGAAAGATTTAATATCAAAATACAAGCATCCAGCTTAAGAAACTCAAAAAAAAAAAAAAAAAGGAAGAGCAGATTAAATATAACACAGCAAAAAGAAATAATGAGCCAATATCAAACAAATGTAAAACAAAAAAAGAAATGAAATCAATGGAGAGAAGTTAATGACATCAAAAGCTAGTTTTTGTTGTTGTTTGTTTGTTTTGAGATGGAGTCTCCCCCTCTGTCACCCCGGCTAGAGTGCAGTGGGGCAACCTCAACTCACAACAACCTTCACCTCCCAGATTGAAGTAATTCTCGCCTCAGCTTCTTGAGTAGCTGGGATTACAGGTACCTGCCACCACACTGGCTAATTTTTTTATGTTTAGTAGAGACAAGGTTTCATCATGTTGGCGAGGCTGATCTTGAACTCCTGACCCCAAGTGATCTGCCCACCTCTATTTCCCAAAGTGTTAGAATTATAGGCGTGTGCTAGCATGCCCAGCCTCAAAAGCTAGTTATTTGAAAAGTAAAATAGGTAACTCTGTAGCCAGACTAATGCCAAACAGAAAGAAGACATAAATTAGCAGTATCAGGAATTAAAGAGGGATATCACTACAGACCCTATCAACATTAAAAGAATAACATGGGATTCTTATGAGTAATTTTACCAGTTAATCTGATCACTCCCATGAAATGGAAAGTCTCTGAAAATATACGAACTATCAAAGTTCACTAAAAAATAAATATAGAGGCCTGGCACAGTGGTTCACGCCTGTAATCCCAGCTTTGGGAGGCTGAGGCAGGTGGATCACCTGAGGCTGGTCAGGAGTTCGAGACCAGCCTGACCAACATGGTGAAACCCAGTCTCTATAAAAATACAAAAATTAGCTGGGTGTTGTGGTACACACCTGTAGTCCCAGCTACTTGGGAGGCTGAGGCAGGAGAAACCTTTGAACCCAGGAGGTGGGGTGGCAGCGAGCTGAGACTGTACAACTGCAATCTTTGCCTGGCCAACAGAGTGAGACTCCATCTCAAAAAAAAAAAAAAAAGATAAATAAAGGATAGCACAGTAACTCTCACCTATAATCCTAGTAGTGTAGGAAGCTGAGGAGGGAGGATCACTTGAGCCCAGGCGTTCGAGACCAGCTTGGGCAACATAGCAAAACTGACAAAACCTAATCTCCACAAAAAAAAATTTTTTAACTAGCTGGGTGTGGTGGCACATGCCTGTGGTTCCAGCTACTTGGAAGGCTGATGCAGGAGGATTGCTTGAACCCAGGAGGTCAAGGCTGCTGTGACCCATGATGGCACCACTGCATTCGAGCCTGATTGACAAAGCAAGACCTTGTCTCAAACAAACAAACAAAAAAGATAACCTAACTCACTGTTTCTATTAAAGAATGGAATTCATAATTAAAAGCCTTGCCTAGAGAAAACTCTTGGCCCAGATGGTTTCACAGGAAACTTCTATCAAATATTTAAGAAAGAAATAATAGGCCGGATGTGGTGGCTCATGCCTGTAATCCCAGCACTTTGGGAAGCTGAGGTGGGCAGATCACAAGGTCAAGAGACCAAGACCACTCTGGCCAACATGGTGAAACCCCGTCTCTGCTTAAAAAAAAAAAAAATACAAAAATTAGCTGGCATGGTGGCATGTGTCTGTAGTCCCTGCTACTTGGGAGTTTGAGGCAGGAAAATCACTTGAACCCGGGAGGCAGAGGTTGCAGTGAGCCGATATCATGCCACTGCACTCCAGCTTGGTGATAGAGCGAGACTCCATCACAAACAAAAGAAAGAAAGAAAGAATACCCGTTCTATATAAACAATTCCAGCATATAAACATTTACCAACTTACCTTGTGAGGCCAATATTACCATGATACAAAAATCAAATATGAACAAGAAAACTATAAACCAGGATCTCAAATAGATATAAATGCAAAAATCTGGAACAAAACAAAACATTTACAAATAGATACTAGCAATTTATAAAAAAAAAACATATCATTATCAAGTAGGATTCCTCTCAGGAGTAAAAATCAATCCATATAATTCACTGTATCAGTCTAAAAAAGTATAACCATAT